ATTCTGAAATGATACAGTGGCAAATGAGTAATGAATTCTAGTATCAATCCCTAGAGTTCATTACTGATTTGCCACTGATGGGATTGATACTAGAATTCATTGTAATATCGATCCCAACAGTGGCAAATCAGTAATGAATTCTAATATCAATCCCTAGAATGAATTATTGATTTGCCACTGTTGGGATTGATACTAGAATTCATTGTAATATCAATCCCAACAGTAGCAAATCAGTAATGAATTCTAATATCAATCCCAACAGTGGCAACTCAGCAATTCATTCTAATATCAATCCCAACAGTGGCAAATCAGCAATTCATTCTAATATCAATCCCAACAGTGGCAAATCAGCAATTCATTCCAATATGCATCCCAACAGTGGCAAATCAGCAATTCATTCCAATATGCATCCCAACAGTGGCAACTCAGCAATTCATTCTAATATCAATCCCAACAGTGGCAAATCAGCAATTCATTCCAATATCAATCCCAACAGTGGCAAATCAGCAATTCATTCCAATATGCATCCCAACAGTGGCAAATCAGCAATTCATTCCAATATGCATCCCAACAGTGGCAAATCAGCAATTCATTCCAATATCAATCCCAACAGTGGCAAATCAGCAATTCATTCCAATATCAATCCCAACAGTGGCAAATCAGCAATTCATTCTAATATCAATCCCAACAGTGGCAAATCAGCAATTTATTCCAATATGCATCCCAACAGTGGCAAATCAGTAATGAATTCTAATATCAATCCTTAGAATGAATGAATTACTGATTTGCCACTGTTGGGATTGATACTAGAATTGATTTCTTGTAATATCAATCCCAACCGACTGCTACAGTGTACAGTACTGCTCGCAGCCGTTCTGTCTTTCTACTGTACACTGTACACTGTACAGTACTGTACGGCCAGTGGTAGACAACACTAATATCACTAATATCAATCCCAACCGACTGCTACAGTGTACAGTACTGCTCGCAGCCGTTCTGTCTTTCTACTGTACACTGTACACTGTACAGTACTGTACGGCCAGTGGTAGACAACACTAATATCACTAATATCAATCCCAACCGACTGCTACAGTGTACAGTACTGCTCGCAGCCGTTCTGTCTTTCTACTGTACACTGTACACTGTACAGTACTGTACGGCCAGTGGTAGACAACACTAATATCACTAATATCAATCCCAACCGACTGCTACAGTGTACAGTACTGCTTGCAGCCGTTCTGTCTTTCTACTGTACACTGTACACTGTACAGTACTGTACCCAGTGGTAGACAACACTATAAAGGAGTACTGGAGTCCATGTAGAGTAGAGTAGAGTATGCGTAGACTACCCTCCACCACTCGCTGTCCACTGCATGTACATGTACACTATGGCACTGCACTACCAGCATGGAACAGTTGCATCGAGGCCATGACAACACTAATCCAATCCTCGTCCATTCTTAACCTTCGACGTGATATCAACGATTCTAATCCAACATCTTATTCGATAATCCAATCAATACTGATCTACTTTTAAAGTGGCCACCAAACATGTTTAAAAAGTAAGCTTACTGCTGAATGCACCAGTGGATAACAGTGTATTGCAATCGACTAGATCATTTGAAAAGTGCAATCCTTCCCTTTTCCAGCTATCAATCAAATACTTTCCAAGTGCAGCTTTCATAATTGATTGTTTCTCTTTCAATCTATATTCTACTCTAGATTCGATTCTAAGCAAGATATCGTTAGTTCCAGTCAAGTGAAATCTTCCGTACAACGTGGAATCCGTGCCAAAGTTTTACAGCAGTTTCCTGATTTACAAGATTACATCGATGATATTCTACCCAAGAAAGCAGCGCTCATATTAGTCAAATGGTGAATACATCGATGCGTAGGATATGTTTGCAAATGTTCAATCTTAATTGCACCCTCCCTACTGTTGTCATGATATTGCAAAATTAGTTTAAAATGTTGTTGCTGCGAGATTGATCCTGTCAGTATCATTGGATCATTACATATTTAGTGCTACAGTAATGCTTGCAAGATAAAACTACCGGCATGCTTTGACTCTTTCTAAATTCGATGTCCTACGTTTCTTGATTCTATACTACAGCCATGATCATATTGAAATTGTATCCATTAATACCAAGCTGTTGTTCTTTCGACAACGTGATGGCCCTTTCTTTCCAACGTTAAGACTTTTACATCAATGTAAGTTATAATTATTTCCATTTACGTCAGCCATAATCAATCAATCAATAATGACGCTAGCAAAAACTACAACTACCTGTGATTGGAACTGGCTGATTACGCTTGACCAGTAATCAGCCCGACTTCGCTGAAACAAGTGTACATTCAGAAATTTTTGAATAATCAAGCTATTACTTTCACTAACTCTTACACTCAATGACCTTAGGATAATTTAACTTGCACTAAAGTCTTTCATGCAACTCGATAAACCGTTTAGATCCCTTCATCCTCCCCCAGCAGCAAGTTGATCGAGGGGCTATTAGGTTTATCCTTAGTGGTGCAAATATCATGTGCCCTGGATTAACTTCCCCTGGTGGAAAGATGGTTCCAACGGAGGAAGAAACAATAGTTGTATCCTTATTAATCTTACATAGCTTATAAGCTGAGATGCTATCTAAATTGATTACAGTTTAAAAAGATTAGACTTTGTTGCTCAGCTATGTCATACTTTTCACATTTCTTGCTCATTGACTGGCCAGTCCACTAATAAATGCTTGGTCACCGGCGTAGTCGTAATCTACCATAATGTAGTTGTTACCAGTCGAAATGACAAATAGTTGGGTAATATCATAATGAGTGATAGTAATAAATTCCTGCTTTATTCTTATAGTAGTGAAATTGATGTATAATCTAAGATTAAATACAACAACAAATTGCAAGAATGTGATGTTTGTTATTAAATCTTTAGCGACATTATAATAAATAAAGGCCGTCATGGCTGAAGGTAAACAACATGCAATCAGTATAGGGAAGATGAAGCTATCGTCTGAAAATATGTAAGCAAATATGACATTATCTGTATAATCTCGGTATTAAAATTGTTCTACTTGTAGAATCCATCCAGCTTAGGGCTCTTGACCGTGTTTAATAGAGTAATTGAGCAACTAAGAAATTCAATTTTCAATTTTCCAGAGCTAAGATTAACAAAGGTATCGCGATAGAAAATATCCACTTTTTAGGCGATGGCTTATGGTACGTTAGTGAACTGGAAAAGTAAATCTTAATCATATCTTAGACAACGTAATATTTTTATTATACAAACTGTATCTTAAATACATCATCAGTAGGCTAACGTCAATTATAATTAGGAATTATCCACATCCGATGATGAAATTAAATAGCGATAAAGCTATTGTGTAAGCAGTTGCAATCATGCGCGATTGCATCATCGGATCAGTGATCCGTTTTATCTACATAATAGCTCAGTGATAGTTAAAGCAGAGTAAGGAATTCGTTTGCAATGCGATATTGTAGACTTGTCAAAAGTGATACATCTAAACATGCATAAAGCAGATTAAATGAAATGTACAGTTACATAGTATACACTTATCTACATATACAAGCATAACTATATATATATATATATATGTATTTATATATAATTTGATTATTAACATGTTTACGAATTCCTAGAAAGAATACATTTTGGTTATTACAAAGTTTCTATCTATTGACCCTAAATAAAAACTAAAGCTGTCGTTATAACTCTTTGTGAGGCCTAGCATATAGTGCAGGAGTTATTCAACTCTTGTATAACTAATTGAATGATGATTGCATAGTGCAAAGTTTTAAAAATACTGGAGTTGTTACATCAAAAAAAGATCAATGATACATGATCAATTACATAATAACACCTACAACGACGTGATAATAATAAATCAAACAAGTATTAACTTTGCTGCTACCGTATCATTTGAAGATAACTTAAAAAAGAATCCTTACTCTTTCTACATAAATGCTGCGGTAAAGAATGAATTAAAAGATGCCAGCAGTCATGGCTAGTCTTAACGTAATGATGGGCTTCAAACCCTTGAGAGTATCAACACTACAGAGTCATTTAAAGTAGAAAAATGTATCGATTCAGTGTTAATAATAATGTTATAACTAACAAAAATGGATCAATTATGACTTTGGTTCAATGTTACTATTGTTGGCAGAATCTTTAGAAGCGTCATTTATTTCTTCATCACCAGATTCGAAACAGTACCTATGAGTGTCAGGACAAACTAAATGCCTTCTCTCTCCTATTCCAGATTCCAATCCGTGTAGAGTAGATATTCTAAGAGGGTAGGAAAAGCCATTTCCAACGCTATAAATGATAGGACAATCACATAACATTACAGATCGATTAGAAAAGGCTGTCAATTTTCATAAGAGACTTTATACCTATTCTACAACATCTCCAAATAAACATGCCCCCTAAGTAGAGCAATGCATTGCTAACTTACCTTGTCCAAACTGGTAGACACCATAACCATTTCTTTTTGCCAAAAACCTCCATAAAATTATTTTTATAACCGATAAAAAATCCATTTGCATCAATCCCATAATCGAATACTGTATGGCGAGATGCTTCTACGTTTCGAACATATTAGAATATGAATTAGCATTGATACTATCTTTCAATTACGAAAAAATCATCAATATAACATTTCAAACCTAAAGTGCTCCGATTATTTGCCACTAAAGCAATATGATAAAGAAGCAAGACACACACACTAACACCGAATGCAGCCGACATAATAAAGAGAAAGATTATCTGAATTTTATCCGCTATTGGGGAGTTACGATCCTAGATTACAGTGGGAAAAGAGCAAGAAAGCTATTGTAAAGATAACATTTCATAAGAAAGTAACAATCAGTCGATTATTAGGTAGGTGGCAGTACGTACATTCCAAGCAATAATAAAATAGGGCAAAACACTAAATGCAAGGTAGAACGTCAGTAAACACGCATGGAAAAGAAATACCAGGAAATACTTATAGTTTGCGAATCCCACACAATTGTTTACCCTGGATAAAATTGAAAGCAACATAATCTCTTATAAATTATCCGAGTCTGTACAGAAATTGTGCGTCCAAGTACAAAAAGGTAAATTCACATATCGCGAAAATTAAAACAAATTGATATTAACCATGGGCAATGATGATCCATCTTCATAATACACCTACAGGGCAGAAAAGAACTTACGTTATTTGAGGAAAGCAATAGAAATAAATGGTATACACAGAATCGGTTCCAACAATTTATCTAATAATGGTAATATTATACCCAACCAATTTATCAACATACTTGTTGCATATTGAGCAATGATGGCAGCGATCTGGTTTAACAATGTTACACATGGGACACCATCTTACCACTATAAAATTACCAATATTGACAATTTTTTGTTCTTAAGTGAATTTACGGATTTGATTAAATCGTTACACAAATAGCCAGTATGCTTACATTTTTCTCTGTCACGACAGTGAACTGGTAATTTCGTTGATAGTTCTTCCGTAACTCGCTGCTGTTCCTCTTTCGACTTTATAAAATAAAAATAGGATCATACGTTAACTAATGAATACCTTGCCTACTCGTATTCATTTGTGATATTGCCTAATCTACGTACTTTCTCTTTATAAACACTGTATATTTACTAATAGTAAATTGGGCTGATGATTGCATAAGTTGAGGCATGTGAACACTATGAGCTATATTTACAGTTATTAAGTGTACGTTAACATCTAATTGTAACAAGAGTAGTATAAGTAACATAATTTTAGTATTTAAGAAATGAATCCAAAAATTGTAAATATAAGAGTTATCAACAGCTTAAGCCAAGATACATCTAATTACTGCATAATCTTAGTCACACATTACTAAGCTGAAACTTAGAGCAAAATAGGCTCACTTACGTCGTTTAAGCTCAGACACTCATCAGCAGTCAATTCGAACTAGTAGCCAAAACATATCAATATTAAAGAATATACGCATAAAAATAATCATATCAATGCAGTAGTGATGATACGATAAAGACACTTATAACGAAATACCAGAATGCATTACAGGAATTAAACAATCAGTTAGAATTACCGATTCCGGAACGTTTTGATGTTCAGTTAAGATACATTTGAGATATGACCATTGCAAGAGGAAAAATAAAATATTGTATAGGACTGCAAAAATAACTGAAATTCAAATGAATGAGGCATAGTTAGTATTGGCATAGAATACTAAAAAATTACTATTGAACATTTATTCAAACTCAACGTAAACAAGAATGATACTAGAATCTACTGGTCATAGAAGCAATTATATAACCTGGACATGATGATAATAATAAATGGTTATTAATTAAGTTGATAACAAACGATGTGAAAAGCCGATGAGAATTGATCTGTCCGAGGATACAGGTGATTTACTTATGTATCAAGCAATCATACGGGCAAGTAATCAAATTTAAAAGAAATTGCTAACTAGTTTTCAATCTTGCTATGATGCTATGCAATCCAATCATTACATCATTAATCCTTCCTTATTCATTTAAAACAGTATATGACCGTATCACTAGAACACCATGTATATTAAATAATCGTAGATCTCATATGATGATTGTTGTAGCAAAATTTACCTTTCAAAGCTATTGGGTGAACATAGCCTACGTGGTAGAGAAGATAAGAAGAAACGAAAGTATTAGACAGTATAAAGTTATGCCTGTAATTTTAATCCGATAACAATTCCTTTATGCTGTACTGCTGATTGATATTAGTACCAGTATATTGTATCATGAAGTATATCGTATTCTAGAGTGAAAAGTAACTTTTTGTCCAATTTATGCTCGTGTAATGCAGCCCTAAAATGGCTTAAGATTAAAATGATGGGATTGTGGGAAAAAATACGTGATTTTTAATTTTTGATTGTAATATTGTGATTACAGCTAGATAGTCCTTGGTAATTGTACGACGAAGCTAATTTAAGTAGTAGAGAAAACTTGATAAGAAACTGTAGTATTTGTTTTATTATTTTGAAGACACTTTATCACAGGTGGGTATAAAATGATATTGAAGGCAAAATCTCGTCAACGTAAAATGCACAACAGTCTGTTACTACCAATAATATAGATATAATGAATTACAACTGCTGTGCCTAGGATGTATTACTATACTTCAACTCTCAGAATTAGAACGCGTAGAATTGCAGTACCTCTACTCAAGTCACTACAAGAGATTGAATGAGTATCAAATCCATGAACGGACTTTGCCGGTGTCAACATACGGTAATGGAAAACTTGTACTGTAGTAGCATCAATCATGTTATCGATTGCTTGTTGATTGGCTTTATTTAAAGTAAAATGAGTGCTTACACTTGACTAAAACGTCAGTTCTACAACTGTCCTTGCAGTTGGTACTACTTGGTAGTAGGAACACAACCTCAAATAAGATTCTTGGGAGAATTCATATTGACCAACTGTAAAACTCAATTGTAGTCATGACATAGTCGTGTGGTTTGCTAGAAGCGAAACCCTACTTACGATCTTCTAACACTATTAGACATCGATTGTACGGTATACAGTAGAGTCAGGGACTGCTCAAGCAAAAAGGTTATCCTTTGATTCACTTTATAAAGTAAGGCTAAAGATTTTATAAGGAGAGTAGTGGATTATTGATCGCTATCTAATTACTGTACTGTCCATGGTACAATCCTACTTGAAAGCGCTGTGCTGTACTCTATAGTTTATTACTAGTCTGTAATGGCTATAGTTATAAATCAGAGAGTTTAGTATTTCCCACTGCATGACAAACGGTGAGACTATGATCGAGAAATAGTGTCTAAAGGAAAGTAGACTACAGTAAAACGTTGATCTATAACGTTAGTATGTTGGACTCAAGACTACTGATGACTGTTGTACATATATATATACAAAGAGTGAATAAATCATGGGTATCACTTAGCAAGAAGGACATTGGACAAGAATCAATGTACAACTTACCTCCAAAACATATGATAAATAAGTATGCGTAGTAAGACCAAATTAATAGCGCTTGAATGAAGCCAACAGGCAACCATCGGACGATCAGTAAGACACAGTAAACAGCGCCATTAACGGTGTTGGAATTGGAGACGTCGTCCATGACGTTGCTCACAAATATTGATGATCGAATCCTTTTCCCCCAGTACAGTACAGTAGCAGGGACTACTACAGTACTAGTACTGTATGGTACAGGGGGCACGGACTTGATGGACTGTAGGACTACACTACAGTAGATAGTGTCTCATCGACAGTACTGTACACTGTACACTGGCATATTGTACTGTAGCAGCGCTTACGATCGTCTCTAAAAATAATGGTATCTTGGAGACGGTATTACTAGTATTACTAGTATACTAGTAGTAGTACTACTATACTGGATTCGTATGAGCTCTACTGTAGTGTACAGTACAGTCAATAGTAACAGTATAACATTGTATTGTACAGTGTACAGTGTACAGTACAGAAAATAGTAGCAGTACAACATTGTACTGTACACTGTATGGAC